CCCATCACAAGAGGTGTTAAACCCCATCACCGAGGAGCCCCCGAAGCCCAGCAGAATGGCAGCACATGAGACCCACTGAGACCCATTTCTTGCCCTAACACTCATTTAGGTCCCCAGACAGCAGCACAAGGTGCTTTGCTTCACCCACTCTTGCAGCAGAGCAGGACAGGGCTTCTTCCAGTTCAGGGTTTGGAGAATGGAACAGGGAGAGGTAGGGACCATGGAAGGAGGAAGGGAGAAAGTAACTACCCAGTTGTAAACCCCTGCCTGGAAAGGAAGGATTTTTCTTTCTCTTGCCCATTGAAGGGCATTGCTGCTCTCCTTATTTGATTGCTAGTGGGACTGCAGCTGGGGACACCTCTACCAGGGAGCATTTGCCAACCCCCCATCCACAAGGAGCGCAGAACCCTGAATCCAAGCCACATCCCCAACACAGGCTGTATTGTCACATTAGCAATTGACACTACAGTTTGTCACGAGTCACCCACACCACACATCTCACCTGTGTGAAAGTACAGTCAAAGCAGAGTCACTCGAGCAAGGAGGTGAAACGGCCTGGCCTCAAAGCACAGCTTGATCAGGCACCAGAATGATGCCGAAACCCAGCCAGACCCTCCAAACACAGGTTCAGCCGTGGGCTGGGCTGGTGAGTCACAGGCTTTGTCTTGAAGCTCTCCCAGCACAGCGAGGGGCTCGCTCAGCAGCGACGCGCTGCCACTGCAGGAGCTGCGCTGCGCTCCTGGGTGTCCTCCCTGCCTGGCCATGGGGTGCTTGGAGAGTGTCTGCCACGACCTCTGCACAAGCTTGGATTGCACTGGGAAGGGGACCTCAGCAGACAGTGGGGTTTGGGCTGTTGCATCACCCCCAAGAGATATCCTGTAGGGACACATGGGATGTAAGTAGAGGTTGGGGCAAGTGCCAGAAGTGCCTAACACTTCTTTCTCCTTGTCTGTGTCTTTGTGTGTTGCAGCAATATCACCCCACCGACATCACCGGCCAGCTCAACCTCTCCGACCCCTCAGTCAGCACTGTGGTGTGACCTTCTCCCCAAGGGCCATCAGTCCTTGCCCCAACACAGTAGGAAGGCACAGCCAGGACTGCCTTTCAAGGGATACTGATGGGTTCTTCCGGGTGAGAGGGGAGGAAAGCATCCTTCATCCATACACAGTGACTTCATTGTATATCTCCCTCCCTTCCTAGGCCTGCTGCCATGCTTGTGCCCCAGAATGCACGAGAGAACCAGGACATGGTTTGGACTTCACTGTACAGAGATAGTCGCTTCCAACCAGTGCTGTTGATAATCAGTATTGCCACTAACCAGCTATGAGCAAGGGGAAAAGACTTGGGAAGGTGTGTGGTACCTGCTCTGCCACGGTAGTGGGGAAGAGCTGGTGCCAGCTATGAACATGTGCTCCACTTTGCAGGCTTCAGGTTTCCCAGCACACACACACGGCCCCTCAGGTGTGTGCTCCGTGTCTCCCACCACCCTGCAGGGATCCAGACCAACGTGCTTGTGATCCCGAGCAGTGGAGCAGCAGGTTGGGCTCAAGTTCCTGCTGTGATGAGTGATCCCCTTCTGCAGCAGGGGCTGGAAGATGTGTGCTCTGCTCCTCACAGGGGATGAACCCCCTGCTCCTCTCTCCCATCAGCCCATGCCTATGACTTGGCTCCTGTATATGATCTGTTTGCAGCAAGAGTGATCCCAGCCCTGAAGCCCAAGCTCCTGTGCTAAACATGGTACTCTGGAGCTCATAACATGCTGTCAGCCAAGATCCTGGCTCCCCAGGCCTCCTGCACAGAAGACATCCCCAAAACGCGGCCATGGCCATCATGTAGCTCTCACACTGTGGCTTTTCTGGCCATGAACATCTCCACGGGGAACGGCTCTGAATGGTTGCATTGACCTTCAGCCAAACTCCACACTGCCTCAGCACCAGCAATGCAAGGAGAGATGCTGCTGGCCAGTCATGGCTCGCAGTGTCAGGCACCACAGCAGGCACTGGCAGGTTCCCTGCCACACTTGCCTGCAGTACTTAAGCATCTCCTGCAGCAGCCCTGAAGCCCCAGCTCACGTGGCTGCACCTGCCTGAATCTGGAGATGTGAAAGCCAGATCCCAGTTCAGAAAAGAACCAAATGAGACAGGCTGATGCCATTCCTCCCCACACCTTCCTCCTCTCAAGCATTGTGCCCATGTGCCACCATCCCTGAGCACCCTTCCCGGGGGCTCTGTGAGTGAGTGCGGAGATACCAGTGTGGGGGAAGCATCTGGCACCAGCCAGGCTGGTGATGAGCAGCTACAGCACGTGCACGAGCAGCACAGCATCCTACCTCCTGCGAAGGAGGAAAACCCACCTGCAACACGGAACCAAGCCCCAGCGGCATGAACTGACTTCTCCTTGCCCCAACTGAGCAGATGAGGCTCCCCACGAGGGCATGCAGGGTTTTCAGATGGCAGCTGAGGTCTGTGAGCATCGTCCCACTCACTGCAGTGGTTCCATCAAGTTCATCTCGCTCCAGCTGAGCCATTGGACCCATTCTACTTTCTACGTTAATGTAACATTAATACCAAGTTTTTGCAAGAGCTCAGTAAAGTCTAGACTGGATCATGAAGTGGTTTATTCCAGTGCCATATCCCTCTTTCCATGTCTGTCTTGTGGTAAAGCTGGCAGGGAGCCCCGTGCTGAATCAGAGCCTCACCCAGCGCTGCCGCGGGGTTTGCAAACAGCAAAAGGTGGAGGGATGGGGAGGGATGAAGCCAGCAGAGGGAAAAGCCAGGGGCTGCAGAGAAACCGGGAGGGAAGGGGCATCACCATTCCAAGATGCCTGGCTGATAAACAGCCTGCTGGGGGTTGAACAGGCCTTGCTGTTGGGGCCAAGGACACTCTGAAGCCCCCTGGCTCTCACCCACCTCCATCAAGGAGAAAACAGTGGCAATCCCCTACCACTGCTGTGCTCCCCAGCTCCTGGGGGCCAGGATGGGGCACTGGTTCTACTGGCCTTTGGGAACAGATGACTGACTGCAGGGATGAAGGCATCTGGGAAAGTCCTCACACATCAGCCCATCTAGCCCATCCATAGGAAGGTGCCCCAAGGGATTTGCAAAATGGAAAGGCAGCTCCCCTGGCCTGAACTGAAGCAACACCACTCATTCACAGCTTGCCCCCCATGTGCTGAGACCACCAGCCCAAGGTCCATGGGGGTCTCAGCATCAGGGAGGAAGAGTGGATCTCAGGTGACCACAAAGGACAACAAGCGAGGTCCTAGGTCCAAATCAGAAGCCAAGGCCTCCTGAGGAAGGGTTAAATACTGTCACTAGAGAGGAAATGAGAGAGCTGGGATTGCTCCTGGAAAAGGCTCTGTGCAAGGGGCTGGTCCTGGCAGGGGTCCTGCAGCCATCCCAGAGGAGCTGCTGCTTTCACCAGCTCCCCAGAGCCCTCACATCGCTCGCAGGGAGAGCCAAGCGGGACTCAAGCAGCGTGGCAGAAGGCTGGGTTGGTTTCTCTCTTGAAAATAGAAATGGGAGCAAGCCACAGGTGAGGTCACATTTGTTTTATTCACTGCATGGTTTATTTAACCCTTGGCAAAAGCTTGACAAAGGTTTCATTGACCCCCACCACATCCCTGACAGCCTTGCACGGGCAAGAGATGGAGTGAACAGGGGAGGCTGGTGGCCACAGTCATCTCGTCGTGGCTTTTACTGCCTTGCGATAGGTAAGAACTCCTTTTGCTTCTCCCTGAGAGATGCTTTTGTCACCCCAGCTTGTCCGTTCCCCTGGAGCACAGCCCCAGCTCCTGCCCGGCCATATCCCAGCACTCACTAAGCATTTCCATGCAATGACATAGAGAAGAGTTTCCACAGGGAAAGGCAGAAGGCAGCAGGGCAGGGAGACAAGGGGCAGCCCCAGCCCCTTTTTGTGGGTGGTGGGATGTGAGGCAGCAGCAAAGGCTGTAAATCCACATTTTTGTCCCCACTTTCACCACTGAGCTGACTCTGGACCTTGGCCGTGGATGAGCTTTAGCCAAGGGGAAAAGCTACTGGGAGAGGAACCACTGTGCAGCTTCACCTGTCCTTTGGCAGCTTATTTGCCAAACCACATCAGTGGGAGCTCAGGGTTTGTCTCTGTCCAATCCTCACCCTAAACCTCAGCTTCACCCTGGATCTTGGCTGTTGGCTGAGCCTTCCCAAGGTAAAAAACCTTCAAAAGAAGCATTTTGCAACCTGACGGGTCCTTGGGCAGCACACATTGGGGTCTGGGGCTTTCTGACAGTCCTATGGAGGCTCTGGAAAGCCCCAAAAGCACCCAGAGATCTTCAAGTGCACCAAAAGGCACACAGAGAGCTCTGGGGCACACCAAAAGGCAAACCAATGCCTGTCAGGGCACAGAAAGCCAAATAGATGCACAAAAAGCCAAGCCAAGGGGTCTTGGCACGCAAAGGCACACTGAGGCTGATGGCACTGAGTGGCAGATGGGGAGTGTTGGGGCCACCAGAAGGCCCAACAAGGGTTTTGAGGCAAACCAAAAGGCACACAGAGGCTCCTGAGCTGCAATGAAAGGTGAATGGAAACTCTGGGGTGCACTGAAAGGCACCCAGAGGGGTATGATATGTCCTGAGATGCACACAGGGGCTCCCAGCATGCACCAAAAGGCACAGAGAGGCATATGGTGCACCCTGAAATGCACACTGAGGCCCCTGGGCAGCAGAAGGGGCAGGACAAGGTGAGCTGGAGAAGGATCCCCTGTACCCCTCCAGGTCTGCGGGTGGACTTCAAAGCACTGAGAGCATCTGCGGTCAGAGCTGGAGACTGCTCCCGCAGCAGTGGGGCAGAGGGAGGTCAGCATCGTCTTGGGGGACAGCGGCCCCCTCAAATGCAAGATCTCCTTGAGACATGGGGTTCCTTGTGCAGGTTGTGGTAAACCACCACAACAGAGCCTGTGAAGGTGCAGAAAAAGATGCTGGCCATGAAAGAGAATGGTCCAATGATCATGAAGGTGATGTAGTGCTGGGCAGACAGCGAGGTCTCCTGGCATTGCCTGAAGGACTCATTCGCAAAGGCCATGATCGGATACTTGTTCAGCTGCTCCGGGACTCTGCAGAGGAGCAAGCTCTTCTCTGGAAGAGAAAATCAGTGTTGATGGGCACACAGGGCTGCTGGGACAAGGCAGGTGTCAGGGACAGAGGGAATGGCAGGTTTGTATGGGACCAGAGCAGGAGGAGAGGGGCCAGGCTGACCAAGATTACCCAGGGCAGGGTATGAAAGAAGGCAGTGAGGGTTCAGGGCTCATCTAAGTCCTGTGCTCGGGGAATGGGACAGGGTGGGTAGGTGGGAACAGTGCTGGAAGGGGCCCTGGAAAATAGGCTTGGGGCAGATGGTAGATGGGGCAGAGAGGGTGCAGGCCTGGTTCCCAGAGGACACATGTGGGGAGCAGTGAGCAGCCAGCCTGGAGAGGCCACAGAAGATCCCAGTCAGCAGAAGTGACAGGCATGCATCCAAGCTGGAAGCAGGCAGGAGCAGTGGCAGCAGAAGGAGAGATCTTGCTGTCAGAGCTGACTCTGACCAAGCTTCATGGGGGAAGAAATGCAGGATCAGCCCCATGTTCATGAAAGCACTGGGGAAGGGGCTGAAAGCACTGAGTCCTAGCTGTGTCAGCAGTGGTGCCCATTGCAAGCACACCTTGCCCTCAGCATAACAGGGCTGGTGCCACTGCTGGGGACAGCACGGGGTACCTTGCACTGGGACATTGCCCAGTCCTCTTCTCCAGGCATGAGGACAAAGGGTCAGCACCAGGTACCAGACCAGGGATGCAAACACCCAAGCAGACACAGGAGCTGCCATGGCCTGAGGATGGGACCTGGGTAACCTCCCTATACCCCCATGGACACCCACCATTGCAAGCCCACAGCTGCTGGCACAAGGGTGCTGGGTGCAGCCTCAGCTCTGACAGAGTGGCCAGTGAGCATGGAGCATGTCGGGGGCTTGGGGACACGGTCCTCCGGCACTCACCTTGCACTTTGTCCCTGTTGTGGCTGAGCCAGCGCCAGAGGGGCAGGATGCTGCAGCTGCACCCCCAGGGGTTGTCCTGCAGGAAGAGGGCTTCGAGCTGGGGTAGTGCTCGCAGCACCCCAGGCTCCAGCTGCCTCAGCCTGTTTCCACCCAGGTTCAGCTTGGTGAGGCTGGTGAGGGGTAGGAAGGTTTCGGTGGTCAGCACAGTCAAGTAGTTGTCGCTGAGATCCAGCTCCTGCAGTGCCCCAAGCCCCATGAGCGCCTGGCTGTGGATGAGCCCCAGATGGTTGTGGGGCAGGCTGAGCACCCGCAGCCCTGGCAGCGGTGGGAAGGAGCTC